CTGGGAGAGGTGGGAGAGGGCATTATCCACACACAGGCAGGGATTGTGGGGTGCACCCTTGAGGAGGCTGATGGCAGATTTAGAGTGCGCCCAATCTCTCGTGCTCTGTAACCTTCTCCAGCATGGTAGGGTTCTCAGGTGCAGACCCAGAGAAATCAGGCCTGTGAGTTCCCGCAGGCAAAAGGTGTCCAGACACCCCAGGCCTTTCTTGGAGATCAGCCAGAGTAGGATGCAGGACAGACAGGCGACGGGAATACAGAGGAGTATGAATGGGAAAGAGAGGAAGGAAGGGAGGGAAGGAATGGAGGGCTGTTGGAGTAAGGATTGGGTGGCAAACAAGGGAAATTCTAACCCTGGAGGGAGAAACCAAGGGAGGGTCCGCTCCCCAGATATCAGGACTGCTCAGCCCAGGGAAGCTGGCAACCGGCAGTTTCAGGAAAATGTGAGAGACAACTGCTGCCCCCCCCCCCCACAACCGCCAAGGAGACTGGTAGGCCTTGGATGTAACTCCTTCCACACTGTTCAAACACACTGGTGCAACACCTATATGTATTCTCAAACATCGTATAGGATTGGTTTGTTGGTGTTGTCGTTTTGTGTTTGTTTTTTTAAAATCTCACCTTGTTTTTCTTTTTTTTTTTCCTCTCTTTGGAGGGAAAGAACTGCCCTGAGCTAACAACTGTTGCCAAACTTCTTTCTTTCATTTATATTTTTTCCTCCCCAAAGCCCCAGGACATGGTTGTATATGCTAATTGTAGGTCGTTCTAATTCTTCTATGTGAGCTGCTGCCACAGCATGGCAACTGAGACAGGCGGTGTGGTGCCGCAACTGGGATGTGAACCTGGGCCTCCCAGCCAGTGAGCACCGAAGTTTAACCACTAGGTGATCTGGGCTTGCTTGTTGTTGTTGTTGTTCTAATTTGTGAATGTGTACCCAACTCCACTGATCTGCAACTTGCTGAATGCAGTCACAAGGATGCTTTTGAAATCTGTGAACGTGCCTCATGCCTTCCTTCCGACTGCCGAGTTTTAATCTCCTGGGTGCACAGGCCAAGTTGCTTCATCCGCTTCCTTACTGATGGGAATTGAGAGTGTTCCCAGTTTTCCCCATCACCAACATCCTTGTGCCCGTGTCCTTGGACGCTACAGGTAGCAACGAGTCTCAAGAAGATGTGCCCGGCAGGGCAATTGTTGGTTCATAGAGGGAATGGGCATTTTTCTCAGTTTTAAGCTTTTCTGCTCAAAGCAAGGACTCTCGAGCCAGACTGCCTGGTTTCAATCCTGCCACTGATCCCGACAAGCCAAATGACTTCGGGCCAGTGGGTGAACCTCTCAGCGCCTGTTTCCTCTCCTGTAAGAGGGCAGTAATAGTGGGTACGTCAATCCGAAGATTGTCAGGAGAATACGTGACTATATATCTACAGGGGTTAGAAGAGTGCCAGGCAGAGTAGCTGAGCTCTAAGTTGGTTTTCATAGATTCTGCCAAATGAACCTCCCCAAAGGCTCTTCTGCCCCGCTGCCACTGCCGCTGCCCCTTCTCCCCCACTCCCTAGAGGTGAAAAGCAGGGGTTTTGTCATGACCTCTCCCAACCTTGGAATGGTGAAGCTCTTGGATAGTTGCAAACCTGTGGGGTGAAAATTGATTTGTGGTTTTATTTCATATCTCCAGGACAAGTGATGGTGAGCATCTTTTGGGGCGGGCACTGGACACTGGGATTCCCTATGTTTGAACAGACTAGGAGTGGGGGAGGGCCCAAGGGACAGGGGAAAACCCCGTCCTGCCCATCAAACCAGCTTGCCAATAGAGTCCCCAGAGCACACAACACAGCCCCATTTGATCACGGATCGTAATCTAGCAGGTGCGACAGAGACCGTGCAGCCTTAAATACGACATTTGCTCTCTTTACGGAAACAGTATGCCGGCCCCTGATGGTTGACGGCGGGCCGCCTGTGCCCATTTTCCTATGGGGTCCTAAGTCTCGTTGTGGAATAGAGGCTGGCAAACCCCTTCTGCGCTAGGTGTTTCACCAGGGTACTGAAGTTTCTCCTCACAATCCCCAATCCACCCGCCAGCACCCGAAGACAGGTAGTTGCACTGCCCCCCTCTGCACCCGGGAAACGGGGGCTCAGACCTGCGGCTGCAATTGGAAGGTAGGTTGTGGCGCGGGGAGGCGGATACTGGGAAGAGGTGGGACGAGAGCCCCGACAGCCAGACTCAGGCACGGGACGGGCTTCCAACTGGGGGTCCAGCGACCGGCTTAGGAGGAAACCAGACGCCCTGCACCCGATTGGTTGGGGCCTCGAGGGGCGGGCCCACAAGGGGCGCGCTGGTTGGCGGGGGGCGGACCAATGAGAAGGGCGCGGCGCAGGCGTCGCCGTCGCGCTGAAGGCGCGCGGCAAGCCGCGTTGTTTGAGGCGATCTCGTGCGGCGCCTCTGGGGAGGGACGGCGTCCTCCGAAGGCCTCGCCGCTGCTGAGGCGCGCCGCCCGCCCGTCCCGCCGCGACCAGGGCGATCGTGTCCCCCTGATGCGACCCGGGGCTGCCCAGACTCACGACATGAGCTCCCCCGACGAGGTGTCTGTTTCGGGGGCGGGTTTCAGCCCGGAGGGAGGGGAGCGGGCCGGCGTCCGCCCAGCCGAGCCCCGCGCCCCGCGGGCACCCGGTCTAGGCCGTGATTTGGGGGCGCCGCGGAGGGCTGAGGGCGAGGGCGGGTTCCCAGACCCCGAGGGCTTGGAGTCCGAGCAGCAGGTGATGGAAGCGGGAGGGCCGGTGCTCTGGGGCCGCCAAGGCCGCCGTAGTTCCCTGGCCGATGACAAGGGGGACGCTGTGGACTCCGCGTCCCGCCTGGCTCACCAGTCCGCGGTGAACGTGGTGCAGCAGCTGGCCGAGTGGGCTGTCCGGAGCGTCTGGAGAAACCCGTCCCCGGAGAGCGGCGCGGGCCTCGAGGCAGGTGCCAGCGGCCGAGGCGCGCCTGCCCTTAGCTGTGTGCAGTCGCAGCCGGCTCCTGCCGCCCCTCTCCATCTCGGTGGGCCAGAGGGAGGCCGGGCCTGGGGGAACCCTAAAAGGGGCAGCAGGAGCAGGATGATGGGCACTGCGGGTCGCCTGCGGCCCTCCGCGGAAGGCCCGCTCAGGCTGCCTTCTGACTCCAAGTCATCAGACGAGTTCAGTGAGACACAGCTGATGAGGCTGACCCTTTACCCCAAAGAAGGAGGCCAAGCCAAGCCCAGCAGCCCAGAGGATCCCGGGGACACACCCAGACACTGCAGTTTCCATGCCAGGGAGAATTTCCCCCATGTGCCAGGCCCTTTCCCGTCCTCCAATGCCCGAGCATTCACCTTGGCTGTGCAAAGGCAGGCTGTTGGAGAGCTGGACTTCTCTTCCTCCAAGAAAATGCAAAGTGTGGTCTGGGGCAAGGTGGGGAGCAGGCCCAGCTACCCGGAAGCTGGTGCTGCTGGAGGCGGCGTGGCCTGGGCCACTCCTCCGAGGAAGGCAACCCAAGAGAAGGAATCCCTAGGGGATGCCTCACAAGTTGCCCAGGGGAGAATCTTTCCTGCCTGGGGGCAGAGAGTCTCGGCAGCTCGCCTGGATCCAGCCACATTCCCTCCAATCTGTGGTGTTCCGCTGCTTGGGAGGTCCAAGAAGTATTCCTTGGCCCGTGCGGGAACCAAGCAGTCCAAGCACACCGGCACTGGGAAGAAATCAGTGGCCAGGAGGACAAGGGAGTCCGAGCTGGTGGTGGCGGCGGGAGAAGATAATGACCCAAACAGAGACCCAGCCCCACAGGGACAAGTGAGTAGGCCCTCTCCTCCTCTTTCCCTGCCTCTCCCCACCGCCGCCACACACTTCTTTACCAGTGCTCCCTCTGTCGATCCCACGGGGCTGCTCACTGGGGTCCTCGGTCATTAGGATGCCAGATGGGGGTCATTCTAGGCGGGGCACACCTTAAGCTAGCACTTAGTGTGTGCCGGGCACCATTCTTCACCCTTGGCACATTTCCTGCCCCCTCCTCCAGAGAGGGGCTGGGATGGAAGGGAGGACTGGTAGCTGATTGGGATCGGGGCACTCCTTAAAATTTGGGCCGCAAAGCTTCAGCGTTCAGACGCGTGGGCTTCGCGATTCCTACTGCCAAGCTGTTCCCCAAGCCTTCTCTGCAGGGGTCCTGCACTTTCTCAGTGCTCCACTCCTCTCCCTGGCTCACCTCTGCCTCCTGGCCTGGGGCTGACTGAGGGAGAAAGTGCTGAGGAGATCAGCCTCTGAATTCCCTTCCCTTTTCCCTGGCCCACCCCAGCCTGTAAACACACAAGGGCACACACACACACAGACGCATCCCCGGTCCAGATCAGTGAGAAATGGTTGCTTTAGCTCCCAGCACACAGGCCAGGGCCATGTTGTCCGTGCAAGCACCGTGGAGAAGGCAGCCGTGGCGACCTCAACAACGGAGCCTGCCAAGTTCGGGGAAAGTCACAGCCCTTGGCCCTGAGCCAGGGAGATGTCATGCCCAGAGGGCCCGCAGCCTCCGGTGAGTCTCGTGGGTGTGACAGGAGTAGGGGAGAGGGGCAAGGATGGAAACCTCTGGCTCTGTCTGTCCTGGGGATCTGTGTCTGCTGGGCACGCAGCCTTGCTCCCAGGCCTCCCTGCCTACCCAGGCAGCTTCTCCCACGGGAAACAGGGTAGGACGGGGCTGGCCTTAAGCCACATCACTCGGCATGGGGTTTGCGTGGCAGGGGCGATTCCTTAGCACTGCCCCAAACTGCAACTGCGGACACAGAGTCTCAGCAGGACAGAGCCTTTTCTGTTGAGTTCCCTTCAGCCACAGGCTCATCCCGGGGCCAGGCTGTGGCTGTGGCTGTGGCTGAGGGAGAGTCCAACCCAGAGCCACAGTCCTGGGGTCCACAGTGGTGTGGGGGCTGCCCCTGGGGAATAGAACAGGGGAGGCTGGGTCCAAGAGAAACTTAGAAGTGCAAGGCAGAGCAGGGGCAAGTTGATGCCACCAGAGGGTGGTGCTGCCTCACTTTCCACTTCCCTGGGAGCCTTGGACGCTGGATTTCCTGTTCTTTCCCTCTCAGGTGACCAGGAGCCACTTCACCATCCTCCAAGACCCAAAAGGCAGCAGCAACCACCTGGAGCTCAGGGCTGTCGTCGGGTATTGTTTCTCTGGCTCCGAGAAATGCAGGCCCAAAGTAGATGGTGGGGTCCTTGTCGATGGTAACTGACATATGTGTCCTCCATCCCCCTCCCATCACCCAAGGGAGGGCTGGCACCTCCTTTCCACTGAGGAGCCCCTGACAGTTTAGCCACTGGGCTTTGGGAGGTACGGGTCGGGGGAGTGGGCCGGTGGAGGAGCGAGGAAGCCAGAAGATACTAATAATTTCTCTTTGTCTGGTGTCTACTGGCCTAGTGTCTCATGCTACAGAGAGAAGTAGACGACCTGAAAGAGCAACTTGGTATGAGGAACCTCTGATTGATACTGGAGCCAGGGCAGAGGCCCTGGGACCAACTGCAGTGTCTTAGTGCAGAACCCAGGGCCTTGGGGTGGGGGTGGGCTACAGGGACAGGTGGGCTCACAGGGACCAACGTTCCTGTGGGGAGGAGAACCCAGCAGGCCTAGCCCTGGACCCTGCTGTCAGGTACACCGGGTGCGTGTGCGAATAGGAAAGAATTGTCTGAACTGCATGCACACTCTGTCAATGAGAACGAGTCCTGGAGATCTCCTTCTCTTAGGAAGCCCAGAGATCCCTCCTTGATTGTCCCTTTAACTGCTGCTTGGTGTGGCTTGTGAGCTGCTTGTTAGGTTGTTTGTTTGACAACTTCTGAATGGTCCCGATATGCCCCAAAGCTTGAGACCCACTGGCATATTTCCTTCCTGTTGAGAACACATTTCCACGTGTAATTCAGGTGGTGGGTGAGGGAGTCAGGCCCGGGTCTCTTTTGATAGGGGCTGGAGGGGGCTTCAGGTTGCAGGGCTAGGCGGTTCCCCACAGTGACATGGGCATGGGCTTCTAGATCACCATGTGTGGAGGTCCTGCTCATGCCTCTCTCTGTTTCAGCCGCCATGCAGTCCCTGGTTGACAAGTTCCAGAGCCTTTCAAGTGAGTGTTACACACCCCATAGCCCTTCCCACAGTCGTGGCTGTTCAGGAGGGCTGTGGGCGGGACCTGGCTTGAGGCTCTTCCCTGGCCCTGCTCTGTTTCACAGGTTGAGCCAGCATCTTCCTACAAGAGAAGTAGCTGGTACCTTTGGAGCCTGGGAGCTGTGGCCAAGCTGGTTCCCTCCTGTTGTACCTCAGCCAGGGCTTCCTCTCCCCTTTCTTTGCCCCCTCCCCAGCCCAGTTCACGGCAGTTTCAAATTAAAGTACCTCTCATCTTCCATGGTCTGTCCTCTCTTGGGTGGGTGGGAGGGCAGAGGGGAGGGGCGGAGTGGGCTGGGGAACTGAGTATTTCAGAGTCTTTTCCAGAAGAGGACCTCTGGCATTCTGTGGTGGGCCTTCTCCCTGTGGGGAGTCTGGGCCAGCCTCTGATAGGAACCCTGCAGTCAGGCCACCAGAGGGCCTGGGGTCTGGGGTCTGGGGTCTGGGGTCTGGGTGCTGTGTGAGCGCTGCCCGGCCACATTGGCGCTTCCTCCCTTTCCCCTGCAGGTTCTCCTGGAGTTCTCTGAAACCCCTCCTCTTTTGGGGTCTCAATGTTCCCATTCCTCACTGCTCTTCCCCCTCCCGCTCAGCAGGATTCCATGACCCCCTTGCAGAGCTCCATTCCCTCTTCCCTTCCCTCACTGGGATCACGGTCATGCTTCTCCCGACCACCGTGTTTTGCTGTCTGGGCACCCTGATATCTCCCGTGGCTTTCTGCCTGTCAGTTTCCTCCCTTGCAGCTGTACCTCAACGGATGCTAAAGAGCACATTTGAGCTCATCTTCCCCCTTCCCAGGCCCAGTCCTCCCTCTGGTGGTCCCTACCTCCCTCTGGTGCCACCCTGCACACTGACAACTGACCCTGGAGCCTGCGCTTCATCCTACTCTCTACTTTAGCCCTCACCTTTGACACTCGCTTACCAGTCCTGCCAGTTCTCCCTCCTTGGTTTCAGTAGAGGGGTGGAGGCAGAAGTCAGCCCCGTGGGTTGGTGGGTTGTGGACCGAGAGGGAAGGTACAGGGGACACGGAAGAAAACCGCAGGTTACTCTCTGGGCCACTGTCTGGGCAATGAGTCTGTTGTGGGGCCAACCTGGAGGAAACTGCCCGCCAGCTGCTAGATGTGGATGGCCTAGCCATGGGAGCTTTCACGTCCTTCCTGTCCTAGCCAGCTCACCGGATCTCCTCCAGCCTGTACGTTTCCATAGCCTGGATTGGAAAGTGGCCCGGCAGTTTCTACAGGAAGTGTGCTTGGTAGGTCTCAATGTTCTTGCACGCTCCCCTTCAAATACTGTTGGACCACCTGCATGACACACATTTTGCTGGAAATGGTGTTTCTGGGTCCCAGCTCAGTCTCCCAGACTGCCTCTATAGGTTACACAAGATGTAGTCTGATCTCTAGGTTGCATTCCCCCTCCCCTAAGGTCGGAGATCACTTCCTTCCCTCAGCTCGGACCCAGGGCTGTGCCGGCCTGAGACTCAGAGGGACAGATTCTGGGTGGAGTGTGGGTGTGTTCTGCCAGACACCTCTCCTGAGAGACTGAGCGTTTAATACATAAAATGGGACTGTGGTCGATAGAACATTCAACATTGGACTGTGTGTGTGTGTGTGTCTGTGTGTGTGTCTGTGTGTGAATAAAATTAATCGTGGATAATATCCCTTGAGGGAGAAAGATGTGATTCGGGAGTAAGGGGAGTAGAGACTGTGTTCAAGAACCTCTAAGGGATCGAATGAGCAAAAGTCTGCGTGGGATCTGCTTTTTCCAAGGTGTGTTCCTAAAACATTCCTATAACATGGGAGGGGAATGACATGGAAGTTTCCAAACTCCACGACAGTGTGTCCGGAGGCTTAAAATTTTGGAGTCTCTGGAAGAGGGTCTGGATCCTACTCTGCGATCCCACGATGTCTGACAAATCCTGTGCCCGTCGATGGAATGAGAAGGGGAAGGGTGGGTGGCTCAGAGTAGTGGGGACATGCTACATCTTAGAGGCAGAGAACTGACAGAGGAGACTGCCCCAAGGTGAGCTAACCGGGACAGGGTAGGGTAGGCGCAGGGGACGATGAGGAGAAAAGAGTAACTGCCCCTGGAAAACTGGGTGGACCTGGTTCCACCATGAAGGCCCCATATTCTCACCCTGTCTCTCCTCCTGGCCCCGGGGTGCAAGCTCAGGTTGACAGACCATCAAGCAGAGGATGGGACAACCCCAGACCTCTGGGCCGGAAAGGAATATTCCTGGGACTTAATCCTTCCACTTCAAAGCCCTGACTTCAGAAGGTGGCCTTGATTGAGGGTTAGGCTCTGGATTTGCCCCTGATGCAAAGGTGAGTTCTTGGTGAGACAACACAGCATGCTGCTGCCTCAGTGAATGAGTTTGGCAGGGACTTTCCAGCTGGTATTTCTGGCCATGGAGATATGCAGGCAGGGCGGATTTGGGGGCAGTCCAGCATGAGCACTGCTCCAGGAGCCGTGGGGCCATGGTCGCCTGGGTGAGGAAGGGGAGAAGCACATGGAAAGGGATGTGGGAGGGCATGAACACGACCCTTGGTGACTAATTTTGCCATCTCCCCTTCCCTGCTCTGAGCACGCAATCTCTCTCTGCTGTATTCAGACCAACAATTGCACAATCATGTTGCTGTAACCATGTACATCACAGGCCGTGGTTGGCACCTGCCAGTTCCAGGGAAAGTGAGTGGCAGATACTGAGGCATAGAGTAATCAAATACCTCTGCGCCCAGGGTGAAAGAGAAGGTTGGACCCCTCCCCTAATTCAGTGCTCCCCTTTAGCCTTTCCTCTCTAGCTTCCTTACCGGCCAGGGAGGCACTGGTGGCTGTTCGAGAGCCCTAGGCCAACCTGCGCAGCTCCTGGGCAGGTGTCCCCTCTCCACCACCACCAGTAACACCATCAGTACCATCACCACCACCTGCCAACTGATCCCTCCAGAGATTTCGGGGGGGGGGGTGGCTCACTCAAAGAAGGTAGGAGGAGGTGAGCACTGGAGAGGGAGCAGGCTGTGGTGAGCAGAGTAGTGGTCCCCATGGATGTTCTCGTCCTAATTCCTGGAACCGGCTAACATGTTACTTTGCATGGCAATGGGGTGCAAGGTTGCACATGCGATAATGGTTGCTACTCAGCTGACTTAAGGTGAGGATACTCTCCCCGTGTTTACCAGGTCTGGCCGGGCACACTGAGGCTGCCAGGGTGGCCATGGGAGCTGTACCTGCCTGATTCCAGAGTGCACCCTTCACGTGACTGTAGGGTGCTTTGCACCCCTGTGTTTGTGCAACGTGGATGTCCTGGTAACCATCACTCAGATGAAGATAGAGAACACTGACCGTTGTTCTGGAACCCTCAGTTTGCCGCACGCCAACGACTTTCTTCATCCCAAATTTTCCTGAGGTAACTGCTGTCCTGTTTTCTCCAAGAGTCATTCACTCTCTGAAAGGACAAGACTTGCTATTTTATCAATAACCCTTACAAGTTTATAAAAGTTAAATTACATGAAATTAAATGTTAATTATATTTATAAACCACACACTACATATACACAATTGTAGAAAGCAGAAGCTCACAATTTGACAAATAATTTATGAAGTGATCAAGCCATGTGACTGCTACCCAGGTGAAGAAAGGGTACATTGCACCTCCAAGAGTCCCACGTGTGTCCCTTCCTGTGAAGGAAGCCAAATGCAGAAGTTTACATACTCCATGATTCCATTGCCTATGACATTCTTGAGAAGGCCAAACTCTAGGGACAGAAAACAGTTCGGTGGATGGCAGGGTGTGGGGGTTGAGAGAAGGGGTTTAACTACCAAAGAGCATGAAGGAAGTTTGGGGATGATGGAAATGTTTTATGTTTTGATTGTGGAGGTGGTTCTGTAACAGTATGCATTTATAACAACTCATAGACCTTGTGTGTGTTACTGCATCTCAATAATCCCAACTTTTAAAAAGAATTGTGAAAAGAGCATCACAGCTGGATATGGATATTTACTAATTATTATTTTCTGAACATGAGGATCGTAATTTTCTCCCATCATCTGTTAATGTGGAATATTATATTCCCTATATCTAAGGTTAAATCAAGTTTGTATTCCTGGGATGAATCCAGTTTCTTCAAGGCATAGTATGTATTCTCCTTCCTATACCTGTAGGGTTCAGTTTGCTAATGTTCTGTTTCTGGTTCCTGTTTCTATGTCACGAGCTGTGATTGACTTGTGATTTTCCTTTCTCAAACTGTCCTTGACAGGATTTAGGATCAAGGTTATTCTGTCCTCACAAAATGAGATGTGGAGTGTTCCTCCTTTTCTATGTTTTCTACGAGTTTGTGTCAAATTGGAAATATTTATGCCTGGGATGTTTGTCAGAATTCAGTGAGGAAGCATGGAGTTTTGTGCTCAAAGCATTTTGACTAGTGCTGATATATTTCCTTATGTTTATGGAACGATTCAGGCTGGCTGTTCCTTCTTGAGTCAGTTTTGGCAAGTTCTGTTCTACTAGAAATCAGTCACCTTTTTCTAAGTTTTCAAATTGATTGGCATCAAATGGTCCATAATATCCTCTTTTTCTCCAAAATTTATTTTTGAAAATGTGTGTCCTACAGATAGTTGCAAGAAAATTGTGAGGAACACCCATATATCCCTCACGTGGACTCACCCATTGTTAACATTTTGTCATGTTTGTCATATTATCTCCCTCCTCATCTCTCTACCTGTGTGTGTATTTTAATTGTTTGGTTGAATCACTTGAGTACTTGAAGACATTACAGTACATTTTCCCTAAATACTTCAGCATGTATCTCTTAAGAAAAAGAATTGTCTGCTTCAAAATCTTAATGAAGTTATGACACTGAGAAAATTTAACATTGAAACAATACAATTACCTAGTATATGAGCCTCACTCAAAATTTCCAATTGTCCCAATATTGTTCTTTGTACCTCGTTGCTTTAAAAAAATCGTGTTTGCATATAAAGATCATGCATTGCATTCAGTTGTCAAATCTTTAGTGTTATTTAAACTAGAACATTTTCCCCGACTTTTTTTGGTCTTGCATGACATTGACATTTGAAGATCCAGTCCAGTTGTTTTTCTGAAAGCTTCTCCAGTTACTTTTCTGTAGTTCTGAAAGCTTCTCCAGTAATTTTTCTAATTACTTTTTCCTGATTACATTCAGGTTAAATATGTTGGGCAGGAATACTACCTAGGTGGTGTCTTGT